AGGGAAAAGCTTGCAGAACAGAAAATCATTGCTAACCCTATTAGCTTTGACAATGGAAGCTAAATCCTCAAACCTCTCAATGTGATCCATAGGATGCTCATGAGGTAAGCCATGGAATGGATGCTGGCCAACCAGCTGATAGTAGACAGGTTTAACCTCAAAATCGTTCCTCTGGAAGGCAGAAGGTCGGATTGCAGCTCTGTTGGCATAGAATTGATCAGGTCTGTTGTAGTCACCTAGAGTTCTCTGAACAAAACGCCCAGCAGCGTTATTGGCAGCAGCAAGGACTCCCACGTTCTCATTCACTTGTTGAACCTGCTGTTCAACAATGACATTTCCCTCTTGATCAATTCTCTGCCCCTCTTCGTTTCTCCTGTTTCCTTCCCTGTCAACTAAGTGACCTTCTGCATCTTCAACCAAGATAAGTGGAGCGACCATTGTAGATTGCTTCTTAACTTCCCTGTTAGTTCTCTCCAACCTAGCTAGTTCGTCGATGCTCAAAGTCACAAGCTCATTCTCTTTGTTGCTTCTGGTACTGCGATTATGCATACACCTGAAACAGGAACAAAGAAAAGCAGCAAAAAGTCAGTAAACAAATTAAAACTTAGACAAAATCCTAATACTAGAAATCGATAGGCAGCTATTACTTCCCGGCAACGGTGCCAAAAACTTGATAGGCTCAGGTTTTACCCAAATAAAACTACTGCAAGTGCACAGCAAAACAGTTGTAGTACAAGGGGTATCGAAATTCCAAGAGAGTAATGCAGACTACACTATCGAATGTAGGTTTGGATTAAGCTAAGCAGGATATGATGTATGTAATGCGAATGAATGAATAAAAGTAAGCAAACGATTTTGTAAGATGATCTAAGTTTCAGAAGACTAAAAACGCTAAGTCAGGACAGTTTGCAGTTTGAATCCAAAAATGTAGAATGCATGAACTCAGGAATGATTAAGAACAGTTTTAAACATGAATCACTGATGTATAACTAATCAATTCTCATTGCAAAAGTTATCTATGCCTAAATCACAGAGTTTCAAATCTCTTTGCAAACCCTAACAACCTAAGCATGCAGGAATGATCAGATTCAATTGTTTACAAAACTCCTAAGCCAAATCTCTTTGCACTAAGTTGTTTTGCTCATCAAATACTAGTTCAGGTTATGAATAATGCTCTCACATATATTTGACAACCTAAGATTTTTGGATTCCTAGATGATGTTTCTCAGAAATTCGATTTTAAAGCAAGCAGAGATGAAAAACCAAAAGATATTCCTAACTAAATTACGATTCTATAATCTCTTCATCAACCCTTGAAAAAGCCCTAACTTAACTAGCAGATTACTCAAACATGATTATGAGATCACAAAGCATAGCTGAATAATATTGCATTAAAAGAAAGAGTAAAAGAATAGAGGGGTTCAAAATCTTCTCAAAAGAGTACAGGATTTGTTTCCCCAAAAAGCTCTGAATAAATCTCTCTCTAAGCTCTCTGAATTCTCAAAAACTAAGATAATGGCCAATAATGGCTGAAAAACCTAATAAATAGAGGCTAAACACGATCTGGGGTCTTCTTGTAAATAATGGAACTTCTAGGCCAATTCTGCAAATCTTCTTCACACTTTTAATAAAACAGCCACGCTCCTTCCTTGATGGGTGACGAGCTTCACCATATGGGATACTTTCTGCTTCGAGCTTGGTTCTTCGTGGCTTCAACTCAGAATGCTCCAAAAGGTTCCAAAATCTCTAATTATGCTCCAGACATGCTATAACCTGCAAAGACTCTTCTAGGACTCTAAAAAGACCAAAAAGACTCAATAAAAAGGACTTATATCTTGGTTAAAAACCATAAAAACCATGATATATCAGTAGTCCACCCTGACAACATTCCATACGCTGGGAAGTCACTGATAGTCCACAATAACACTGCACGCATGTTGAAGTTCCGTTGCTGCAAGTTGTCAAATATGCGAACACCCAAATGTCATAACTGTTTCAACTCATGAATCAGAGGCTGTAAGAACACATCAAGTGCGCGCTTTGGATGCTTAGGACGAGGAACTAGAATACTCATGAACAAAAATTCTTTTTACATGCACATATCCGGAGGAAGATTGTATGGTGTCAAGATGACAGGCCATAGAGAATATTGTCTCCCAGAAATACCAAATGGAGTAGATCCACCAGTACATAAACCAAGGTAGATAATTCTAACCTCACTAGCAAAGTCTGAATATACCGTATGAAAGTGCTTCCACGCCTTTGCATCTGAAGGATGTGTAACCTCTCCATCCTCTGTGGAATGTTCTGCATGCCATCTCATTGACAACGACGTCTTTTCTGAGTGGTATAACCGCTTCAATCTTTCAGTGATTGGCAGGTACCACATACGTTGGTATGGAACCCGAGTTCTTCCAGTAGTTTCTTGATATCTCGGCTTCCCACAAAATCGACATTCCTGCAGCTTGTCATCGTCTTTCCGGAATATCATGCAATTGTCAATGCATACATCAATCATTTCTGATGGTAAGCCAAGACCTGCAACCAACCTCTGTATTTCATAATAATTCTCAGCAGAAAGATTATCAGCCGGTAGGTACTCTTTGAAAAGTTGAGCCCACAAATCCATGCAAACCTTAGAGAGATAATTATCAGTTTTAATTGTCATCATCCTGGATGCCAATGAAAATTTTGACTACCCTTCTCTACATCCATTGTAGATAGGCTCATTAGCAGCATCTAACATATCATAAAACTTTTTTGCATCTACGTTGGGTTCTTCCCTAAAATTATCAACAAATAAGGTTGCTGGAGTTTCATGCATTGCATCTACAACCATATCATAAAACCTATTCCCTTGTTGATACCCTTGATCTACATTTCCAAACATATTCTGCCCATAATGTTCATAATCAACATTATAATTGGGCTGCTCTAAACCCTGACCCATACTACTACTTCCAACCGTAGCAACACTACTATCTTCCCCATGCAAAAATCATACATAATAGTTCGGCATAAACCCTCTATTATATACATGCTTCTTCACTGTATCAATTTCTAAATATGGCACATTCTTGCACTTCCTACATGGACAGAATATTTCCTTGCAAATGATTGATTTGTCGCCTGATATAAGAATGCTCGAAACCCATCCTGAAACTCTTTTGTCACCTTGCCGGTCTCCAGATCTCGATGATTGTACATCCACAATCGTAACGCATATATGCTATGCTTTGAAGACATTCTCTCAATATTTCTTTCACACTTCTCTTTTCTCTCTTTTTTAAAATCTATCATTTTCTTATTTTTTTAACACTATAAGATTTTTTTCTTTACTTTTCTTTTTTTTCTTTCTTTCTTTCTTTCTTTCTTTCTTTCTTTCTTTCTTTCTTTCTTTCTTTCTTTCTTTCTTTCTTTCTTTCTTTCTTTCTTTCTTTCTGTTGTGATTGTTTCACTAACTCCCGAAGGCTATTTATTGACACTCAGAAATTATGCAACGGCCTCGCGACGGAAAAATGCGACAGATTTGCTACACCATACAATATTGCGAGCAATTTACGATGGATTTGTGACACAGAACCGACTGATTTGCGACTCTGTACCTAACTACTTAGGCCGGTGGGAAGGGAGTAAAATGTGGTTCACCTACTTTGCAAATACGTCGCAAGTTGGTCGCAAAGTTGCGACAGAATTTCTTTCTCACTATCTCGTCGCAACTTGCGACATACCTTGCGACCGCCTTGTTTGTTCGTCGCAATTGCCCATTTCGGTTGCAAGTTCGTCGCAATGTCGTTGCAAAGCTGCGGTCTGTTTGCGATGGCTTTTGGTGTCGCAATTTGCGACGGATTAGCGACACATTATTTTTCTCTGACAAATCTGTCGCAAACGCGTCTCAAATTGCGACCACCTTTCACCATCGCAAATTTCCGACGCAAAAGGGCTGTTTTCTTGTAGTGTATCTTACCAATCATAGCAACATTTCTGATTCACTCTATATATGACTACATGCACTACAGTAAACATTCTTTTTTGGGGACAGCAATTAACATTTTGACTACATTTAATAGGATAGGAATATTCGAATATAATGATTATAGAAAAAAGTGTAAATAATCGTGGACATTGCGTTAGAACACAATACAGTATATATAACCCATCCAACAGTTATAATTAACATCACGTTTTTACACTTTCTTCTATTCATTAAAACAAAATGAATATTCCAAAACAATACCTATCACTTTTCATATTGATCATCTCCATAACTATAAATTCATCACATGCAAACCAAGAAAACAACATTTCAGCTCCAAACGGTCCATCATCAACAAAATCTATTTTTAATCTTTTCGGGAAAATAACTATGCAGATCATCAACGATCTCGGCAACAAACAAACGTTACTGTATCATTGTAAATCAAAAGACGATGATTTTGGTAACCAGAGTTTGCAATTTTGTCAGTCGTGGTTGTTTAAATTTCGGCGTCAGTTCTTTGGAAGAACATTGTTTTATTGTAGTTTCGAGTTGCCAAATGGACGACATTGGTTCGACATATACAGAGACCACCGTGAAAGTTCCGGCGATAATTGGTGTCAAAAGTGTGTGTGGAAGATAAAATAAACTGGACCTTGCAGGTTTAACGATCTATCTAAGCAGTTTGATATTTGTTATCCTTGGAATAAATCATTGAAAGAGATTTAACCAAGAAAAAATTGTATGCTTATTGTAATGTTTTGAACTTTCACATAATAATAATAAAATAATGATCACATAATATATTTTAAAGTTTTTTCTCAAAAAGCATGGAGTTTGTAGGCTTGAACAAGTTAAGGAGATTAATTTCTTTGCATTGATTTAATTAATCTCTAAACTAAATAAAAAAGAAGAAAGGAAAAAATAAAATGGAAAACACTATAAGAAATGTTGGTGATCGTGATGACAAGTCTAGAGAGAAAGACATTACAAAGGATGAAAATGTTAGTGTCTTCTTTAGAAAGAAGTAGAACACGAGAGAGAGTAATAGTTCTAGGGTAAAATATGAGAATTGGATCTCAAACTCTATGATATTAATGTAATAATGATATTAATGTAAGTTTATTCACGTGAGATTCTCGTGAGACCGAATCCAACTTTTATATTACAAATAATGATTTTGCAAAAAACATAAAACAAATAAAGTTAGAGCTATTCCTTACGACTCACGAGCTTCAAACATAATATAAAACATACATCAAACTTCTATTATTCCAACTTTTTAGTAAGTTGATAATCATATCATCTTTCAGTATTCGATGCTATCTTACATTAAAGCTGAAACAAAGAGACACACTACTAATAAATAACAGTCCATAGTATGGTTATACATCCATACATATACATATATATACAAAGTAAAACCCAGTACGATCCTAATATGTCGACTGAGTTGAGGTCTCAACAGCAGCAACAGTCGATACCATTGTGTCCATACCACATATATTATGACGTCCCCTGCAGATTTTGTAGTAACCATGCTCGCCCCACATCGATCCCCATGAGTTCTTTATGATCCAATAAGGCTTCTCCTTAAGACGAATTGGTGCATAGCCCGATGAACCAAACCCAACCAAGAGCACTCCATGGTCTTGGCTCTTCGAACATACATACGGACACGAGACTCCTCCTATGTAAGTTTGCATCCACAGTGCATTGATAGCAACTGTTGAGCAGAGCAAAGACAAATGCGTTACATCTCTAATTACTGAATTCGTACAAGGAAAGGAAAATAGTAATTTTTTTTTTGGGAGGGAACTTACTAGCTAGAGGGCCGCGCTGGACTAGATTTGCAGCGATTTGGTCTTCATCCGCAGAGACAACGCTGAAATTAGACACGCTTGCAGCGATCCTGGTCTTGTCGAAATTGCAGGTGGAATGGTCACGTCCTGTATAAGGATAGTCTTCTTCCTTCATAAGGCCACCAGATTTTAGAGTGTACTCAAAAGCGTTGTTCATTAGCCCTCCGCTGCAACCAGAGTCACATGAATTGGCTTCTTGTGGATCACACTGCATCAATTCGATCTCTAGTGAAACCATGTCGATCTAAAGAACCAAACAATCAACAATGGAAAGAGAGATTCAAAACAAACCTCATGGTCGCAATCTATAAGCTGCTGCTCGCTGAGGCTGACAAGCTCTTTAGTCGCCAGAAAATGAGCTCCTTCAAGAGCTCCTGTGGCGCTAAACGACCAGCATGAACCGCACATACCCTTTTCAAATCAAAACACAATTCATTATTTGATCTTTACTCATTCTCTACTGATCGAAATTTGCAGAAAAGGAAGAACATCCATGTGCGATTACAAAGCTAATTGTCTATTTCTGGCAACTTTTGAAATTATTGTGATAACGCTGAGGACTTTTCACACACCTGGTTTTTAACTGGAGTGACGGCACCTTGTTCACGCCAATCGAATTCCGTCGGGAGGTCGCTAGTCGGAAGGATCGGCGCCTTCTGAGTGTCACTGGGAAGACGGAACCGCCGTTTCAGCCCTAGATACTTGCGGCGGAATTCCTTGGGAGTAAGATCTGAGAACTGCGTGACGCCGTGGACGGCAGACGGATCCAGAGCCTGGTGACGCCTTGCTCGCCTTAGATTAGCCTTGAAGACACGGAACCGGTGATCGTGCTCCTCCTGGGTCGCGTAAGTCTTCTCATACTTGGATTTGAATAGAGAGAAGTGTTGTTCTGCGTTGAGGAGTTGTTCAACGTTCTCCTCCGGGACGACTTGCCTGATCGGGTTATCGAAACTTTCGTCTATCTCGCCGGTGATGGCGACCATCAAAGCCGCCGCGATGAGGAGGAAGAAGATCACACGATCCATTTTTGTTTTGCTTCCTAGAGATAAGGAAGGAGAGACTTTGGGACAAGTGAATGAAAACTGTTACGAGCTTGTTAAAAGGAGTGAGAGGGAACACGTGGCGTGAAATAGTTGGCTGTATTGTTTGATATTTCTTGGGGAAAGCGACGACATGAGAAGTGACACGTTGCTTGCTGCTTCTAATATCTTCGTAAGCTATGACGATTTTTTGTTTCTCTCTTAATGTAATTTTCAGCAAAAGTTGAGGGTAAATTTGTAATTAACATTCACTCCCCAATTTTTCTCCCTCTTCCGTAGCGACTAGTAGCGACTCTTCTCCAGTCCAGTCCAAATCGGAGGTGAGTGAAATCTCCGGTTGTTTTTCAGTCATGGAGTTGAGATCGGATTCACGATCGACTTCGTTTTCTTCTCTCCTTTTCGTCGCGTTTCTCTCGGTTTTAACCGGACTTGTTTCCCGGACCGAGTCGGCTAAGCAACCTTTCCGCCGCGAGCCGGGTCATCCTCACTGGCATCACAGCGCTTTCCACGATGTACGAGAGAGCGTGCGATCCGATGTCCGACGCATGCTTCACTCCCGTGCCGAGGTAAAATCTCCGCCTTAAAACAATGTGAATCATCATCATCAGTGAGCCTGGATTAGCTAGAAGAAGAAATCGCCATGTAATTGGCTTTGTTGAGCCAGTGAAGTGCAATCGAATGCCTCAAGCTCACGATTTTCATCTTTTGTTGCTTCACGCGTATGATCATAGCTTTGCTCGTGGATATGGTTTCCAATTTTGATACTAAGTGATCTGGATCTTTGATGATCGTATGTTAGAGTGGCTGCTTTAGGGTGACACCGGGACTCGAATTTCACATTATGAAGCTTGTTTTATTTATGCTCCTCTGCTTTTTCTTTCGCAGGTACCATTTCAGGTTCCTCTAGAAGTGAATATAGTGCTTCTAGGTCTAAATGGAGATGGAGGATACAGGTACTCCGTGGATTCTCAGAAATTAGAGGAGTTCTTAAGAGTTAGTTTCTCGACCCATAGGCCCTCATGCCAAGAGACGGGAGAACCACTTGATATTGAGCATCGAGTGGTTTATAATATATTTCCTGTGAGTAATTCTAAATCTTAAACCAATCTTCACGATTTTATATTGTTTCTGCTTCAAGATCCATTATCGTATATGTTTTCTTCGCGTTTTGGACTTTTCACACTTAAAGCTATGCAAGTTCTGGAATCTTATTCTTGCTTGAGCTGTGTGGCGTCTTGCATCTTTAGTCAGATTATTACTGTGCATGTAGTTATTATTCTCAATTATAAGTCGTAAATAATTTGTAATGCCAAGATTTTCACAGTGTCCCCATTGATCTACTACTCAAATACTCATCGTTAATTTTTTGTTTTTTAGGTGGGGCAACCTGAATTAATAGCTCTGGAGAAGACAGTGAAAGACGCCATGGTACCTGCTGGGACTGCACTAGAGGTTGCTGTGATCTTGTCATCTCAAATTTAACTCTCTTATAACAAATTCACATACACACACATGTACATATACACATATATGTTGATGAAATGTAAATGTCTCTGCTGTAAATCTACATCTTAATATATATGACACTGAGCTGAAAATTTATTTTTTCATTTAGGCCGATTTTGGAAGACACTTACCTGCCTATGACGTAGAGGCAACAAAAGTTGAGTCCGCATTTAACCGGCTTTACTCTTATATATTTGATATGGATGTGGGAGCTGGATCAGCAGCAACGGCGGATAAACCCATACCAAGTGCCATATTTCTAGTGAATTTTGATAAGGTATGACTTGCAATGCTCTTCCTACTTCTTGAATTTTGCATACCGTATGCAGAATGTCCACATGTTCAACCTGTATCTGTTTTTGTTTGAAAGATTTTTGATGCCTTCTTGGTTTATAACACTCATATTTCTCTTTGTTCTTGAAAATATATCCTGTCATGTTTGCGTTTATTTGGTAATTGATTCTATCCTGTTGGGTTCTTTAACTGCCCCATTCTTTCCTGACCTCATTATTCAGGTAAGAATGGATCCTCGAAATGCAGAGATTGATCTAGACAGCTTGATGTTTTCAAAGCTACCAGAGCTTAGTGATGCAGACAAGGAGAAACAAGAGGCAGATTATATTTATCGATATAGATACAATGGTGGAGGAGCATCCCAAGTTTGGCTTGGATCAGGCAGGTAAACTTATCTTTGTTTTTTTTTTTCCTCGTTGTGGTAAAATATGGATTAAAGTACCCAGTGGGTTCTTCCTTGGTATCTCTATGAGACTATGACTGATATGATTGTGCCATAGATGTGATCAAACAAAATTTACCACCCTATTATGAAAGCATTACATCTTTCTAGTATCATCGTATTATGCATAAGAAAAGATGTGTGATAGGCCACAAAACAAACAAAAAAACTTTAGAGGAAAATGCAGGAGATAGGCGCTTATTTTACTTCATTTCACTTTGGCAATCATAGATTATGATAGCAATCTGCCTTTTTTCACTGAAATTAATATCCAAGATATCGTTTGCCTAACTATTTGTATTCTTATCTGCTATAATTTTCCACTAAGCTATCAATTCGATTTTATTTCTTAATTATTTTTCTCTTCTTGATAGATATGTTGTCATAGATTTGTCTGCGGGGCCTTGTACATATGGGAAGATTGAAACTGAGGAGGGAAGTGTTAGTCCCAGAACACTGCCAAGGATAAGAAACATTGTGCTTCCAGGAAACGTTAACACTGTTGGTCATCAGTCTACCCATGATATTTTTTCTGGTCAGTTAGGGGCATTAGTAGCTACTACAATTGAGCACGTCATAGCTCCTGATGTTAGGTAATAAGATACACAAGACTTTACTTACTTCTAGCAATGAATGTAATGATAAGATAATTCATTCTGAATGCAACCAGGTTTGAGACAGTTGATCTAGCAACTAGAGTGCTGGTGCCTATCATTGTGCTCCAAAACCACAATCGATATAACATCATGGAAAGAGGACAAAACTACAGCATAAATGTTGAAGAGATAGAATCCGAGGTAAAGACTTACTGCATTAGAGAAATGATGTTCGTGAAATAGTGGTGGTTCTTATATTTTCTTTTGTTCTCTGAATGGTGTTTTTATCTCTATGAGTCATTATGATTAGTAAAATGAAATGTTAGCACCCATAATATTTTCGAAAGTACACACGAAGATTGTATACTATAGCTTTCCACATGCTAATTGTCCCGAGTCTTTGCAGGTAAAGAAAATGATTCATCACGGGCAAGAAGTAGTGATCGTTGGAGGGGCTCATCCTTTACATCGCCATGAGAAGTTAGCTATTGCTGTCTCAAAAGCCATGCGTGGGCATTCCCTTCAGGAAACTAAGACGGATGGGAGATTCCATGTGCATACCAAAACATATCTAGATGGTGCTATCCTCAAAGAAGTGAGTTTCAATAGTTGGCAATTGTGGTTTGGTTTCCGAGTTGGGTTAAGCTAGGAAATCTTGGGCTAACAGAAAAAAAAAAAAAAAAAAAAGTTCGTAACCTGCTGTTACTGTTTCCAACCAGTGAAGCCTCGTGTGATTTTTATTGGCCATTGCAGGAGATGGAAAGGTCCACTGATGTTCTAGCTGCTGGGTTGCTCGACGTGTCTGACCCTGGACTTTCTAATAAATACTTTCTCCGCCAGGTAAATCTAATAAATTTCATTTGCAAATTTCTTTCACAGACCTTTTTTTTCATGGAATCCATACTTTTGTGATCAGAGCTGGTCAGATGATTCTGAAGGTTCGAGTGATTCCATAGTAAAGCACAAGCCTCTCTGGACACCTTATAGCTCGAAAGTTCAGAAGGGAAAGAAAAAGAAGGCTGTAAAGAAAAAAGGCGACCTCTACCGGACTTACGGAACAAGAGTTATTCCAGTGTTAGTTAAAGCAAGATCCAAAGATTAAGTGCTTAAACTACACTTTCAACCAGAACAACAGTTGACATAAATCTTTATTCTGTATATAGGTTTATACTCTCGTTAGCCGATGTGGACCCAATGCTCATGATGGAAGATGAGAGCCTCGTGTGGGCTAGCAATGATGTAGTCATTGTGCTTCAGCATCTAAACGAGAAAATACCTTTGAGGTGAGCAAAACGCAACAACAATGAAATCAAAAGCAATGAGAAGCTTGGTACTTTGATCATCAAATCGGTTTTCATTTCCTGTTTCTACAGTTATGTTTCTGAAACAGAGAGACAGCACGCGGTTCCATCACAAGTACAGAGGCATATACTAGCAGGTATAGCATCTGCTTTAGGTGGTGTAAGTGCACCATATGAAAAGACCTCTCACGCGCATGAAAGGCCTGTCACCAATTGGCTTTGGGCTGCTGGTTGTCACCCGTTTGGACCTTTCTCAAACACCTCTAAGATGAGTGAAATGCTTCAAGATGTTGCATTGGTGAGTGAGTCCAACAAATCATTCTCATTTCTGAAAATAAAGTCAACAGTGAAACCAATCCTTCTGAATCTTGTGATGTATGGTATCTTTATCCGCAGAGGAATACTATTTATGCTCGGGTTGATTCTGCTCTACGCAAAATCCGGGAAACATCAGAGGTAAGCCAACTTCAACCTTTTAAAAACCAAATATTTAGTTTCCTCCGCAGATAGAGAGAGTTCATCAGTTGTGGTTGTTATTATGTGCAGATAGTACAGAACTTTGCATCTGAATACCTCAAAACTCCACTTGGAGAGCCAGTGAAAGATAAAAAAAACAAAACCAAAACTGAGCTCTGGGTTGAGAAATTCTACAAAAAGACAACCACATTGCCTGAGCCTTTCCCACACGAGCTAGTCGAAAGATTAGAGAAATATCTAGACGTAAGTCACAAAACATCTTTTGTGACTCTCTACGATCTTTCAATTTTTTTACCAGATGGGATCATTTTCTTACAACTTTTTCTTTGAAACAGACCGTTGAGGAGCAACTGGTGGATCTCTCTTCTTTGCTATACGACCACAAACTATACGATGCTCATCTCAACAGCTCAGAGATTCTTCAGACCACCATGTTTACACAACAGTAAGTCTCTCAACATTTTTTTTCTTCTCGTTTTTCTGTGGAACCACAAAATGTAACACAAACAAAAAAACTGGTTGCAGGTACGTAGAACATGTACTGGAAACAGAAAGGGAGAACATGAGATGCTGTACGATCGAGTACAAATACACAGTTGGGGTCAAGTCTTATCAAACATTGGTGTACGGAGGAATACTTATCGCAGGTTTTCTTGTGTACTTCCTTGTCATCTTCTTCTCTTCACCTCCTGCTCGTTGACCTCTTTTACAGTTTTGAGGGTCATAGATTTTGTAACGGTTGTTTCTTGTTGAAAAGATGTGACTAAAAGTTAGTTGACATATTTTTAAAAAACAGAAAATAGTTGTAAGAACATTTTAAATGGTGAGAAAGAAAAAACTTGACATGCAGTATTTTTTCTATTTTCCTTGATAGTTAAACGATCTAAAAAAAGCTCTTCGAAATTATCTCTCTAGCTTCTGCTCGTTTTACTGTACCACAACCTCCAAATCAAATCAAATTAATTACATTGCCTCCAGTATATGCTAAATCAGTTTATTATTCTTTTTAAAGATAAAATTACATGAAACGAAAAAACTAACAATAACGAAAGATTCAAATTCAGCATATCGTTAATTCGATCACCAATAGTATCTTCATCCCGCCTAACGTATACTCGCGAGTATAGCATAATTAGCAGCTTTCTTCATACGTGCCTCGAGATGCAACGCCGCCATCTCATCTTGAGCTCTCATCAACGACTTCATCCTTGAAGCCACGGAGCTCGATTCTCCTCCTCCTTTCTTTGGCTCATCATCTTCATCATCTACCTCATCGTCTTCATCATCAACCGCGCAAGAATGCACATGGGTCCCGTAATCACATTTTTTGCAGTAGTAAACCCAAAGATTCTCCGACATATCTTCTTCACAAACATCACATACATACATCTCACCGTCCTCACGACCTTTGCACGGTGTGTTGTAAAGTAGAGTGAGTGGGTGTTTGTGATCTTCGCGCTCTACGGTCTCAGGGATGAAAGCACATCCGACATGAACATCGTATTGACACTCAGAACAATTGTAAGTGAACCCGGATCCATACTCACCACACGCTTCACACTCGTAAGACTGATTACTATAAGGTGGGGAATGAAGCAGTGTTAAGGAATGGCCAGGATGAGACTTGTGATTGATTTCACGAGGTAGGTCAAAACATGACTTGTGCAAGAAGTAATCGCAGTCTTTCTTCGAACACTTGAAAGCTTGTCCGGTCAGGTCGAGCTCACATCCAGAGCAGATGATCTCATCTTCGTCTTGGGCCTTAAAGACGCGCAATGGATGGTTGTGACTCGGGTGTCTCACTGATGGGCGATTAATCGGTTTTTTTGAAGCCATTGTGTATTTGTGTGTGAAAGAGGAGTTTAGAACTATATATAGCAAAACATTTAGTGGACTTGTGATTTTTAGTTTTGGCTAAATAATTCCAAGTTTGGCTTTGATTATTAACCAAGTTGTAGTATAACTTATAATATTTTCCCATTATTGGTAGTTTAATATATAGAGAAGGCGTTTGACAACAGAGATGCAAAATCTGCAGGCCAAACTATAATAAGATATATGATTTAAGATTTCCAATTTGGGCGATTGTTAGGAAGTAGTGACAAACCACTAGAATTCGTCCTTGTATCTTGAATAATCCAAGTGGGTAACGACTTAATCACACTATCGAACCGTTGATTTTTGAAGTCGTCAAAATACTCATCACACGGTAAAACTAAAAGTATGACTTGTGCAAAACAAATTAAATCTTCCAAGTTCCGACTAATTTCAGAAGCACAGAACTACAAAAATCCACAATGGTTTCGCAATAAGCCATTGATTTATTTTCTCGCATACCAAAAAATTACAAATAACTTATCTGATAACTTGCAAAATCTCTCTGAACCATTAAGAAGAAGTTTGTACCCATTGTGTATGGAATTGGTTTTTAAAGTGGAAGAAGAGTTTAGGAACCATTAATAGCAAAATATGTAGATGACTTGTGATGATTTCTAGTTTTGGCTAAATTATTCTTGAGTTTGGTTTTGATTAGTAACCATTCATGGTTTGGTTTCTACAACTCTGAAAATATGATTAGAGTCTTGTGACTTGTGTTATGAACTTATGATGGTTTCTTAAATACAGCAACTAGCGTAACCAATTAACAACAGTTAAGTTTCATTGTCAAGTTACTATCTACGGCCTGAGGAAACTCAACCCATTCTCTCTCGCAGATAATTTCTACACAGTCATGCAAGAGACTCTTGGGGACACTAGCTTGGTGATCCCCACTAGAAGACTATAAAAATTAGATTGTTTTCCTTTATATTGTAAAATTGGATAAGTTAGAGTAATCTGCTTGAGATTTAATTTCTTTTAGAATAAGAAAGCCTTATGCTGACTCTTTGTACAAATGTCTGGACGTTCTCGCTATCACGTAGTGGGGTGCTTGGGAACGCGTCTGTTTGGGTTTGGCAACATCGATCAGACAATCATCCCAACAATCTAAAACTAATTAGTTTCAGGTTCATCTTATAACCATCTCCACTAACTATAATAAATCAAATGTTGTGGGATTTTTGACGATGTGCACCTCTAATAAAATAAATTATAATAATTAAAGTTTAGAAAGAAAAGAAAAATCAAGTGTTGCTAGCTCGACTGATAATGGGACTCTAGACAAAGCTTAAAGCTTACAGAATTGAATAACGTTTAGGTCAAAATTAATATACATACTGTAGTTTTGGGTCTACAGAGATAACAAGCTTCGGCCCAGAATCTCTGAATAATTTAAAAAAAAAAAAAATGGAGGAAGAAGTGCCTACTAACTAGTTAAAGTTGTCATTTCTCTCTTAAAAATATTTTCAAATAGTATTTCTGTCCAAAACAAATAAATCAAATTGGAAATAAGAAAAAAGATAAAAGATAAATTGTTAATCTAGATAATCCGTTAATAATTTTTATTTGTTTACCCCGCAACTATCAAAGAATGTATCACGCGTGTCTTGCTCATTCTTCATAAATATCTTCCTCTCATTTCTGACTAGATTAGCGCTTTCGTCTTCAGCCCTAGTGTTTTTTATTCTTCTCCTCCGCCGTAAATCAATCAGCCAGCAAGAAGAAGCTTGCTTACAACACAAGCCAACCATGTCTCAAGTCAAGGCAATAACCGATCTTCAAATCCGATGAACAGAAGAGAGAAACTGGAGCCACCACCAATCCCAAATGATCTCATCGTCGATATATTCTCGAGGTTGCCTGGGAAGTCAGTTGCTAGGTTTCGTTGCCTGTCGAAGCTATAGTGAAACTTCGCCGTCCCTATTTCACCAAATTGTTTCTGACTAAATCCTCGGCTTGTCCACGTATCTTAATCCTTCTCAAAGAGGCCTCCAATGAGTGGAGCATCTATTCGTCGCCTCAGCCTCAGAATCTAGATGGAAAGCCCTCTCTTGTAGTAGCCGCCGATTTTCATATGAAGTTCCGTGAAATAGTGCCTGGAGACATTTGTAGCTCATGTGTGGGTCAATGAGAATAGAGTGTCTGTGGTATGTAACCCTATCACAGGACAGTATGCGACTTTACCTGAACTGATAAAGTACAGAAAGTCGGAAAGCATTCTAGGGTTTGATCCGATGAACAAGCAGTTCAAGGTAGTGGCGGAGGCTTATCCATTTTGTGATGAAAGGGATCACCATAAGATTCACACTGGGAACTGGAAAACTGAAGTGGAGGATGCAAGAACCATTGTCCCCAGTATTGTACTTCTTTGTGTAGAGGGATATGCATCAATGGGGTTTGTTATAACTTAGTTGAATGGAATAGTGTAATTAACGTCTATTGTGATACTTTGCGTTGACGTTAGGTCTGAGAAGTTCAAGTTTATTGACGCAGAATGCTTGTGTTATGGTCTGTGTGGATTTAAATTGATAAACTATAAGGGTATATTAGGTGGGATTGGTTGGGGGTATGATGATGGCGACAGCCTTGAGCTGTCCATGTGTGTTCTAGAGGATATCGAGAGACAGGAATGGTCGACAAATTAAAGCCTTCATGTGTCGTTTGCTTCTTAGATACAGCTTGTATATGTAGGTAACCCTAATGTCATGATAACTGTAACACAAGCAACTAACATTGCAAAAGACTTCAATTTCAATTCAACTAATTTTCACACTACTTTTTACATAACAAAATCAAAGCTTACACTCAAATCTCTGCAGTGTTCTTCTTACATTTTTTTTTCAAAGAATCATCATCATCATCATATAATATATTGATGGCATAGTGCATTGAGAGCGTCCACATGAGATTAAAAAATTCGATCTGATTGGTCAACATCAACATATTCATTAAATAAAAAAATGTTAAGTCTGAATAGGACGGAAAGACTTGATTTAATTGGTCCACATCAGTTTTTAAATCAAACAAAAAATTGTTAAGTATAATTAAAACATTAAAAGTTAATTTAACAAATTATGTCCAACAAAAAAGTTAATTTAATCTGATTTATCCAAACATATTTATTAAATCAGAAAATGTTAATATGGTTTAAAAATTTAAAATTTAAATAAAAAACATTAACAATACATGTATTAAAAAAGTAACCATTATCAATTATGAATTTAAAAAAGTAATTTTTATATAGTATAAGTGAAATTATAATGAATCCTGAAATAAATTAGATAATAAGATTTATAACTCTCAACACCATACTTTAAATTGTATCATGTAGAAGTATTATTTTTGAACTCCACTTTTTCCATCCGATTTTTTCCGACAAAAAAATTGTAGCAACTACTGACTATACTGACTATTTAACATGATAAGTACGCTCACATGCATATACATCACCATATTTTAATTTTCTATTGTGTTTTTAGATATGAAACCAAACTGTTTTAAAGCTATTATGATATGATAAGAAATTAAACATATTTTATTAAAAGCTTTTTTAGCTTTCAACATGTTATAAATTTATGTTTCAAAATAAAAAAAAAGGAATCATTATCAAAAGAGGCAAATTAACAACAAAAAAAAGTTGTATAAAAGAAAATTAACTTGGGCTAAATATTTTGAAAATCAATATAAAAAACTTAACAAAAATAAACAAATGATATTATAAGATTTTAAAAAAAATCTAAGATTTTAATTCAACAGTTAAAGCATATCAAATCAGCATTATAACTAGAATTAAAATTAATATAAAAATCAAATTTAACAAAG